ATTGGGGTCAAACAACTGTCTTTGAATCTCATCAAAGCAAAAAAATATATATATATATATATATATATATATATATATATATATATATATATATATATATATAGTTTATGCAAAACTAGGTAATCCGTATGGGTAGACCCAAGGAGGATGATATCTGTAGAGCTCAATGTAAATTCAGAGCAAATATGTTTGAATAAAAACTGATCACTTTAAGGTTCCATGTAATAAGTTATTTCACCATAACCCTTTTAAAGGGCTCTGGATCATCAGACTTTACTTTCAAAAGTTGAAATGAAAAATGAAAAGAATCTTACACATTTCTGACGGACCGCACCAAGCGTATGTGAAATTAACGAAGTGAGGATGTGAGGTGGGTGAGAAGATATGAGTGAGTTAGATGTACCATTTTCAATTCCTTATCCTTAACCCCACTCTGTGTAGGCTAGGCGCCGCTTAACGTATGCTATCTAGATATAGATGGGTAAGGGGTGAGGGAGAAGACTGACTTAAAGGGGGAGGATACAGTTAACAATATAATAATAAATCATGTCCCTGAAACTTCAGATACGCCTCCATACTTCATACTTTCATCAGAAATTTTACTTTCGGGATTTTCTGCAAGATAGCAAACTATGTAAGCGATGTGTGTTGCTAATAACCTGAGGTGACACTATTACCTCTGGTGGTTGGTGGTCTATCAGTTCTTTGCAAGTGGCCCTTGACTGCTTCTTAACCATTTTTTGGGCGGCTGTGGCACAGGTATAAAAATAAGCTAAAGAGTATGATAGGCTGTCAATGGGCCTCACCTCCTGACCGGCTGTTCGGTTGGACTATCTGCCTTCGGGCGGAGAGGAACCCGAAGGAGGCTACGCCGAAGGGCGGAGTCTCGTCCGGGAAGGTAAACCGGCCCTGAACCCGTTTGTTCGGGTTCAATGGGCACATTTTTGAGCCGAACCCACGGGCTCGGAGAACCCACAATAAATAACCGACCTTGTGTCACAAGCTGCCCCAGTGGGTTGGGTGGTGACTGAATATCATCACTGGGCCTTATACTAACTTCAAGTGAGTTGCCGTGGATAGAAATAACTGGAGATATTTATGCCAATATCAGAAAATCAGTCATCTTAAGGGACGAAAGATAACGGCGAAAAACGTCAGCAAATATTCCTGTTACTATGTCTCGAGATCCTCGCAGT